GGGGGGGTAATAGAGTATATATATCTGTGTGCTGGGACGCTGTATTCTCAGCCCGGGTTGGCCCAGACAAGGAAAATCGAAGCAGCCCGTTTCTTATAGGATCTAAAATGGGTCGATGATAGCGTATACTCAAGGGGTATTTTTTTTATCTAGAAGTGAAAAGAAAATTGAACATAATGTCTTTTTAATCAGTGTACTATACTGATTTAATAATAACAGGATATCAGTGGCACAGATCATCATATATAATTTTTGAACGATCACTCGCCGTCACAGGCAACGGTGACATGAAAAAAAAGGCGACAAACTCTGGGCTAAGACAGTCTGTAGAATAGTTGTATAATCTGTCGAATCATTCTTTCTGTAGATTCCTTGTATCTTTTAAGTCGTGCTATCCGTAAAGTGAGTTTTGATCTGTTGAGACATTCGTCTGTAGACTATTATAGTTGTAAAATTGTAGTCATTTTGATCTGCCATCGCTATATCTGTTGATAATTCTTTCTGTTAAGTCACTCTATTTACCGTGAGTATATAGAGCCGTTCAGTCTGTAGAGTCATGTAGGATCATTCTGTCTGTAGAGTCATGTAGAATCGTTCTGTCTGTAGAGTCATGTAGAATCGCTCTGCCTGTAGAGTCATGTAGAATCGTTCCGTCTGTAGAGTCATGTAGAATCGTCCTGCCTGTAGAGTCATGTAGAATCGTTCCGTCTGTAGAGTCATGTAGAATCGTTCCGTCTGTAGAGTCATGTAGAATCGTTCTGTGTAAAAGTATTGTGTAAGCACATGAAGAATCATTCTGTGTAGTCATGTTGAATCATTTAACAATACCTGTACAAATATTCTGTCTGCAGAACTATTCTATTTAATTTTGTCTGTAGAGGTGGGTAAAATATTTTATCCGTAGAGTCATGTCGAATCATTTTAACGGTAGAACCATGCAGGATATCATTCATCTGGAAAGCCATGCAGAAACGTTCTATCTGGAGAGTCGTGCAGAATCTATCAATGGGGAGAGTCACGTAGAAACATTCTGTCTGCAGAATAATGGAATGGTGCAAAAGAATCCCGCATCCCTCACACTGCTCTTCTCGTCCTTTTTTTCCGTCTCAGTGGTTCCTCGGCTCTCTTCTTCACGATGTTTTGATGCATCTGACATTTGATCCTTTCTTGTCAAGAGTTGGGTTGTTTTTTGTTGGGTTTTTTGTTGTTGGTCTTATTTTTTAGGAATTATTTAGATGTCAGTGTATGATAGAGCTGGGCGAAGAATCGATTCCAGAACGGATTCCCACGATTAATGCTACGGAAGAAAAGTTCCGACTCCTTTTTAGGTAAACCAACGGTTACCAGTTACCTTAATTATTAAAATAATCTCTTTTTTTATCGAATTTATTTTAGAAAAATAAAAGTTGATGCTTCGTAGCGTTCTGAAATCAAGGTTATCCTAAATCCTGTAGATGCTGTGAGCCAACAAGGTAACCACCGGAAGAAATCACATCATTAGAAAGTAAGTAATTGGGTTCGGAGTCGAGTCCTACGATTCTTAGCTTTCAATAATCGGAACCTAGCCGCCCATCACTAGTGTATGATAGAGTGCTCAAAGCACTTAAATTGCTTTATCTGTGGGAGCTCGCTGGCAGTTGATAAACACGTCCATTGTTCGTGTTTGTCAATGCTCACATAATACGCCACTCTAGAATCTGTCTGGAATATGTGGGGAGAGAGTTGGGATGAGCAACAAAAAAAAAGGGGGGGGGGCGGTAGAATGAGAGGAAATTGCCAGGCCATGATATTATTGTTCCGCTGCATAGACTGTGGTTCGGTTAACATACACTGTATGTGCTTGAATGCGTATAAGTTTGTGTCTTTGAATGTGTGCACCGACATTCTTTATTTCTATTTACGTGGCTGTCAATAATGTTTATAGTCATACAAAAAGTCTGCAAAAGAATCAGTCTGGGGAAGAAGGGTTGGGTGAAGAAAAAAAGGGGTGTAGAGTGAGGGGAAGTTGTTAGGCAATGATCCCACTGCTTGGATGTAGATTGTGGCTGCGCGCGCGCTCGTTTGAGTGTGTGTGCGTGTATGTGTGTGTGTGTGTGTGTGTGTGTGTGTGTGTGTGTGTGTGTGTGAAGACATGTAGGGTGATTTGAGGCGCCACTGGTGTGTTCTACTTTTTTGTTTTCTCATTGTTGTTTCTGTCTATCTTGCTTTATTACTAAACTAATTGACCTTTAAAGTGTCGGTGTGCATCTTGTTCTTGAAAGCTAATTAATGTAGGTGGATGCAAGTTTTTGGCGGGATGAAGATTGGGTGGGGGCAAGGCTTCTTGTATGTTCAAGTACTTGAGTCACTGCATTAATTAGAGAGCTGCACTTCCCTTTGGTGTTCCATTTTTTTTAAACATGCCCCCCCCCCCCCCCAACCCACCCCCCGGGAAAAACTGATTAATAAATGAACAGGTAAGTAAATAAATAAATAAACAAATAATTAAATAAATAAATAGTTAAATTACAAACGTTCTGTCGACTCAGTACCTAGTTCTGAGAAATCTGACACCAAAAAGTTTGAGTTTCACAACTTGTCAACCTTTTTCGATTGCAATTCTTTGATGAATATCTTGATTGATAACAACTCCGAAGAATCTTACGATTTTGACAGAGTAGAAAGAATAATGTTTGGTTTCTGACCTCTTGGTTTTATTAACTCAGAACGGCCCAAATGTTCAGATAGAACCTTGTAACTCTATCTCTAAGGGAGCGTAATGAAGAACGTACAGCCTTTTACGTACGTTATGTGTCCGCCAGTGCGGGAGTGCATGTTATGTTTGTGTAGTACATTTGTGCGTGTGTGTGTGTGTGTGTGTGTGTGTGTGTGTGTGTGTGTGTGTGTGTGTGTGTGTGTGTGTGTGTGTGTGTGTGTGTGTGTGTGTGGTACGTTATGTGTCCGCCGGTGCGGGAGTGCATGTTATGTTTGTGTGGCACATTTGTGTGTGTGTGTGCGTGTATATGTGTGTGTGTGTGTGCTCGTGTGTGTAAAGCTGCGTTTTCAGTATAATAGATATCTTTAAAATCAAATTGTGTGGCCTTCACAAAACGACGTGGGATAAAATGAATGCAGACAGACCCGAATAATTTCCCGCTTGAGCAGACTGCTCATGGGTTCAGATATGGAAGGTTCGGAATAACTGGTCTGTTTTATAACGACAACTGCCACGCATAATTTCTCTTTGTACTTGGTGGGTTGAAATTTTACTAGTCAGTGTAGACTTGGTCCCTGCAGGCATCTGTGACGGAATGTGGATGTTGTTGTTCTGACAAAAATCCAACTTGACTAGTCGCTACCTTAGAATTACGAAGCTCTATCTGACATTGTTGGCCGTTTTGAGTTACTAAGACCACTATCTGACATTGTTGGCCGTTTTGAGTTACTAAGACCACTATCTGACATTTTTGGCCGTTTTGAGTTACTGAGACCACTATCTGATATCTTTGGCCGTTTTGAGTTACTTGGACCACTATCTGACATTTTTGGTCGTTTTGAGTTACTGAGGCCACTATCTGACATCTTTAGCCGTTTTGAGTTACTAAGACCATGCAGTCACAAACCAAATGGTCTATCTGCTCTATCAGAATCATAAGATTATTCGGAGTCGCTATCAAGATATTCAAAGAATTGAATTTTTAAAAAGCTTGACTTATTTGGTCAAAACAGATCTTCTTTCATTAAATTTCTCAACCCGTCGAGTAGGCTCTGATTGGCAGGGTCGAAGCAGCCCGCTTCCAAAACGGTCCGTGAGTGATTGGTGGGTGCTTTTTCTTTTCTATCAAACATAATATGTCGTCTTTATCACTCGTCTTTCTTTTTTTTGTGTGTTTACTACTATCTTGTAACACCTCTAATCTTCGACGCTTATATGACCGAATTGTGTTGCTAGTGCCGTAAAACTTTTACTAAAATTAAAATAGTCCAAAACCGTGTCGCTTGTCAGTAATCGAGTTGCAGTTATATGACGAGACCTCCTAAACTTTATTCCAGCAGGCGTCAAACGAAATGTGACTTTTATCATGCTAACAGGTCGCATCCATCAATCCAGCTGTTGTAGATAAGACGTTTTGACTCTGGGACTTGTGACCAATGAGGACTACGCTTGGGTGTTAAAAACGTCACTTAAAACCCCACACACCAGGCCGATGTGCTCACGGCCAGAAACTCGCGCGTGTCTCGGCGAAGCTGTTGCCCCGGGACGGGTTGTAAATACAATATTATAATGTATGCACTCCCATCTGTCACCCCATGTTTGTGTGTGTGTGTGTGTGT